TACTTCTAACTACTTTGCCCTAACCCCATTGACTACATTGAAATATATATATATATATATATATATATATAAAACCAGATAGCGTAGATATAGCACTCCCAGGACTCCAAAGGTATTAAAAATAAAATTGATCTTTTAAAATTTAAAAAATAAAAGTTAAACATTTCAGTTTGTCAATCAGGATCCTTTTGAGTCCTGGGAGTGCTATCTCTACACTATTTGGTTATACTATGCCGATAAGCACCAGGCAAAGACACCAGTAAGTTGGAGTGCAAGACTATTTTTTGTTTTATATATATATAATATATATATATTTTTATATATATATATATATATATATATATATATATATATTAGTACCTACAACTACGTGCTAGACAATCTCCTCTCCTCCCTTCCACCATCTCTCTCAACGTGGCAGCAGTGGATTCATGTTGGCTTCTCTGAACTTATGTAATACGGAGTTGTGTTCCGGAAATATGCGATATTCTGTTACCACCTATACGCAGAGTCGTTACATTCACATAGTCTAAGTTTACCAACACTTGGGAACTTAATATCCAGTGGAATATGTTATATATAGTTTCCCGAGAGTGATTTATTATCCAAAGCCAACTGTATCTCAAGAAGTTACCTGCCTCTCAGTAAATATCAGAGACTGGTTGCATGTATCACTAGGTAACGTTGTAATGTTGATTATACGACTATTATCTATGGATCGACTCCATTATACTTGTGAGTAGTTGTTAAAAAAAGAATTGTATGCAGATTAGAATTTAATTTACTATGATCTTCGATGCTTTGTAATTTTTAAAGTAGCATAGGTGGTCACCACAATACTAATATTATTACTAATAATAATCATAATGAAATTGAATTAGTAGAACTTCCACTATTACCTCCTAATACTATGTCTCATCCGCACCGTTAGGCTTAGACAAGTGGGAGAGTCTCCTTAGCGGTGTTTAGTTAACTGCATGTGAGAACTGGACGTGGGACTGCCTCAAATGCCACGGAATGCCATTGAACTTAAAATGATTAAATAAAAAGTGTACAGCACAAAATTTAAATAAATGCCCCCTTACACATACACCAAGTTATTAACTGAACTTAAATGCAAAATTGAGGCTAAAATAGGCCAGCGGTAAATACAGGGGAATTGGCAGGATCTCTTCACTAGGAACACACAGGTACAGGTTTTGCATTAATCCCGTATAATGCTTTCTGTGGGTCGAGCTGCTAAGGAGGCCCCTAAAGCACAGTTGTGTAGCGACACCTGCTGTCTGTAAATGGCAATGCAACCTATGCTTGTGTTTTAGGAATAAGATATTATGCTGCAGTGATTTGTGTCTTAGTGTTTCTTTGCCACAACCACAATCATTACTTAAAGATCTCCTTAACCCCTTAAGGACATATGACATGTGTGACATGTCATGATTCCCTTTTATTCCAAAAGTTTGGTCCTTAAGGGGTTAAAGGAAAATGGCCGTCCTATTATGACATACTAAAAGATTACATGTATTGCAGCCTCTGTGTGTATTCATGTACAATGAATATATTTAAGTAAATACTGCTTTTTTTTAGTACGTTTTCCTGGCTTACTCTCACGCTGTGTGGGCAGCCATTTTAAGTCCTCTTTGGTCATAAGCACAGTTTATCCAACAATAAAACTGTGCAGGTAATTAAGAGCTTGTGCACGTTCATATATTAGGACATTATATTTAAGCACTAGGCATCTCAAAAGTGTGCGCAGGGATAGTTAACTTCCGATTGTCCATCGTGATAGCAGATACGTGGAACTTCTGACCAAAGACGGCTTTGGTCAGGGTAGGCTTGGATGGAATGCACTAGAAACTCACTTATACACATTCATTACAGATTAATATACAATGTGGCTATATTAAATGTAATAATTTATTTTCCGTTGTGATAAAAATTGATAACTGTTTTCCTTTAAGCATTACATCACACAGATGGTGGGGATTGTTTCACCCAGAGTGGTTTGTCTGCTCTGTAAATTGTAAGTACATCTCCTATTTTATTCAGCACTTTTTAAACCCCTTAAGGACGGAGCCAAATGTACACGTTGTGAACGAAACAAAATGTAAACAAAACCTGGCATTTGCGCTACATGTCTGTCCAACCGTAATTCACCTATTTCATAGTGCATGCACCCACCCTTATTATATATCATTTTATTCAGGGGAAACAGGGCTTTCATTTAATATCAAATAGTTAGATGTGAAACATAATTTAATATGAAAAAAATGGGAGAAAATAAGATTTATTTTAATTTTTTTTAGTTCTACATGACATTTTAACTGTCAATGTCATAATACTGTTTGCTTTTACTGCAGTAACATACACATATTTGTATTCAGCGATGTCTCACATGTAAAACAGTACCCCCTATGTACAGGTTTTATGGTGTTTTGGGAAGTTACAGGGTCAAATATAGCATGTTACATTTGAAATTGAAATTCGCCAGATTGGTTACGTTGCCTATGGGACTTTATAGTAGCCAGGAATGAAATTTGCACCCATAATGGCATACCATTTGCAAGAGTAGACAACCCAAGGTATTGCAAATGGGGTATGTGCAGTCTTTTTTAGTAGCCATTTGGTCACAAACACTGGCCAAAGTTAGCGTTAGTATTTGTTTGTGTGAAAAATGCAAAAAAACGCCAATTTTGGCCAGTGTTTGTGACTAAGTGGCTACTAAAAAAGACTGGACATACCCGTTTGCAATACCTTGGGTTGTCTACTATTGCAAATGGTATGCCATCATAGGGGTAATTTTCATTCTCGGGCTACCATAGGGTCTCAAAGGCACCGTAACCAATCTGGCAAATTTTAATGTGAAAAAAATGAAACGCAAGCCTTATATTTGACGCTGTAACTTTTGAAAACACCATAAAACCTGTACATGAGAGGTACTGTTGTATTCGGGAGACTTCGCTGAACACAAATATTTGTGTTTCAAAACAGTAAAAAGTATCACAGCAATAATATTGTCCGTGTAATGCTGTTTGTGCGTGAAAAATGCAAAAAACTTCACTTTTACTGGCGATATTATCGTTGTAATACATTTTACTGTTTTGAAACACTAATATTTGTGTTCAGCGAAGTCTCCCGAGTAGAACAGTACCCCCCATGTACAGGTTTTATGGTGTCTTGGAAAATTATAGGGTTAAATATAGTGCTAGCCAATTAAATTCCCTTTACTTTCGGCATGGAGTTTAGAGCTGCCTATAATAGGGCGTAATTGTACGCCCTCCGGTCTAAAGGGGTTAATATAGAGAGCACTATGGGCCTTCTCTTGTGTTTTTATTTCATACAACCTGCACTGAAAATATTGTCAGAAGAATATCCTACATGTGGGGAGTTTAAATACCACTGTATGCTGTTTTAACTCGAGCTTGTTATAGCTCCCATAAATGTGAGTTGGCATTTCTTAACCTCCGTGTTGTCTGCACCATTGGTCCCCTCTGTGTTTTTTCTTTCTTTCATATATGCTGATGAGGATTTGACCCAAGACGTCTTGAGTTAGAGACTTTAATTTGCCTGTTTCCCTGGTATTTTTTTCTATTATTTATTCAGTTTGTTCTTGGCGCACCCTGTCCTTGTTGTTTTCAGTTTTTTCCAGTCCTTTCAAGGGTTTTAAAGGTTACCCTTTCTTCCAGGTGTGCAGCCTCCCCCTCCCCATTGTGATCAGTTTGGATAGCGCGGTTTCATCCCTCTTTTTTCTTTATTATTACATCACACCAGTGACATAACACAACCCATGGGGCCCCGGTATGAAAACTGATCCGTGGGCCCCCCCATACTCCCAGCACGTGCTTACTCTGCGCGGGCCGGGGGCCGCAACACATGGCAGCGGGCACCTGGTCGCAGGGCTGCGACCGCGGTATGTACGCCAGTGCATGCAAGTACACATACACTTACAGGACCACTACAGACACCCAGATCACATCAGCTCAATTAAGTGGTCTGGGTGCCCTCTAGTTTTAACCCTGCAGCTGAAAACATAGCAGTTTCAGAGAAATTGCTATGTTTCACTGAGGGTTAATCCAGCCTCTAGTTGCTGTCTCATTGACAGCCGCTAGAGGAGCTTCCGCGATTCTCACTGTGAAAATCAGTGAGAAGACTCTGAACGTCTATAGGAAAGCATTGAGTAATGCTTTCCTATGGGCGGTTTGAATGCGCACGCGGCTCTTGCCACGCATGCGCATTCGGAGCTGAGAGGCGGATCGGGGCGGAGAGATCCCAGCGCCAAGGGAGTCCGGCACTGGAGAAAGGTAAGTGCTTAAGACACACACACACACACACACTTTCATGAACAGACGCATACACACTAGCTAGCAGACACACACTCAGTGACAGACATACATGAACACTCACTTACAAAACACACTCACCAACAGACGCACACAGTAACACTAACACACTCTAACATATACACACACTAACACTAACACACACACTAACTTTAAAAAAAAAATGTAATCCCCCCCAGCCTCCTTACTTGTGGGAGAGCTGAGGGGTTTCCCTGGGGTCCAGTGGTGTCACCCGGCGGGCGCACGAGGGAGCACTCTCCCCTGTGTGTTCCCTCTTCAGCTCCCTCGCGTGCCGCGTACTGATGCCGGAGCCGGAAGAAGACGTCATCTTCCGGTATCAGTATGGTGCACCAGGGAGCTGAAGAGGAAGCACTCAGCCAGGGAGAGTGCTCCCTCGCGTGCCGCCGGGTGATACCAGGGCCAGCCTCTGGGGGCCCTGAGGTGGCCAGCCCCTGGACCCCCCCAAAAGAAGAGGCTGGCCACAGTGGCATACATACCGGCTCGCAGGGCGGCCGGGCCCCCTGGTGGGCCGGGCACGGTCGCAGCCGCTACCCCTGCGACCCTGGTAAGTATGCCACTGCATCACACGGAGTGCTTTTTATTCGATGGACAAGTAACCAACGACTGAATTTTCAAATTATTTATTTCATACACGTTTTCAGAATTAAAATGACAAAGTAATATTTACACAACCTGGTGTCCTACCAGTAAGTATTAATTAAAAAAACAAACAAACAAAAAAAATAAAACATTTTGAAAATAACCCTTGCATTTTCCTTTTAAACGGTTCATTTTGCAATTAATGCCCATATTCTGCAATCCTATATTAAATAGTTAATTTGAGACAGAACCTATGGGTTAAGACTTGATTTACATTTCAAAAGGCCTCCTATAATTAGGTTTAAAAGGAATTAAAAAAAAAAATAAAACATGGTGGTACTTTAGTCCAAAATTAGCCAATCCAGCGATCTAGGTTCTTTTCATGGCTAAGGTCGAGATAAAGTATTAAGAGTTTTAAAAATCTGTTTCTATACAATGTACATGAATTTAGAAAAGGATAGACTGGTTAACGTTACTTGTTTTCACAATCTAAGAATCCTTAGCGGACACCATTTAATGACTACACTTACAGATTCCTTTTTTACTCGCTTTCTGATTGCCTCAATAATGATTGAGGAGAGAATGAGGCCTCTTGAATAGAGGTCTGTAATTAGCAGTAGATGCATATAAAACGCTTCTAACCAAAGCCTAACACCCACAATCCTTTGGGATCACAGTATGTTACAAGGATGAAATGGTTAACAGTGCATTACGCAGCATACATATAAAGGCTAACGAGATAAAGAAAAACACTTAAGCTAAAAACGGCAGAGCTTCTGGAATGTGTAAAATAGAGCCATTTAGAAAGATGAAAAAGTTTATAAATAGGTTGTGTAATTCCAATGGTACGAGATGAGAGAATGACGGGTGTTATTTTTAATATAATGTGAATAGGATTTAGTCCTGTCATCATGTCCGCAATGATTCATTAAATTAAGGGGGGGGATATCTAGGCAGTATAATAACACTACGGACAAAAATAGGGGGATGGTACCCTAACCGTTATAATGTGCCGTAGGAAAATTAGAGCAAGATTTACTAAACTAGAAATTGTCTGGACCTAACCAGAGAATTTACAATTTGTAGGTCACAACAATCAAGAATGAAAAACTTAACTTTTTTTATTTTTGCCATTTTTAAATTCTCATGTCAATTATCATAAATTTTCATTTTAGCAAATAAGCGTAAGAATTGTGTGCATTCCTACGTGTTCAGCTTAAAACGTACTAGTGGGAAAAAGTTGATTCATGATTTAGGGATAACAAGGGAAAGAAATTACAGATCATTGAGAGGGTGAGGCTGGACGAAAGGCCAATGTGGTTAGAGGAATTGATCAGCGTTTGCTTGTCATTGGACGTCTGAGTACTTGTTGCTCATTGCGAGTCCGAAGTATGGTTTCTCTGGGTTTTCTGAACAAAGGCAAGGTAAATTAAACTATGTTTAACCCTGTTAAAGTACAGAAGAAAATATACATACATATATATCTACTTTGTGCAATTTAGGCAACTTCACTTGAAACACAATCTACTATGAATTTATCGTTGGTTCCCCTTTCATCTTTAGTCATTGCGTTGTAGGGTTTGGAACATGGCTCCATGAGATGATAAACTTGGTGACAGAATGCTATAAGGTCACTTTAGAGGTTTTTATTTTATCATCTGATCAGCTAAATTAAGTTTGAATTACAACCACGTGCTTAATGTGAAACGTATGCTTAAATTCTAAACCGGTAACTTACCGGTTAAGGCCACAATACCTTATTTATCAGTGTATCTTATAAGGCATATCCCAGAGGCGTTATATAAAACATGTCTTGTTCAGGGAGGTGTCTTGTGGGTAGGATTCACCACATATTTCTTACAGTTATAATTCTGCCTCTTTACTTTTTTCCCAGTGTGACGATGGGGTTGAAATTATACATATGTATCCAAACTCCATTTTAAAAATATTAATTAAAAAATATTAGACTTATTGCTTTTCAACTGAACTTAGACCCACTTTATGTTGCATTTTGTCTTGGGCTGTTAAGGGATGTTCTGTTGGCCTACACGCATAGATTAATATCTTCCCTTCAAGTTGACTAATTTCACATCTTTACTTAATGTTTCCTGTGCATATAACAGATCATTTTGAACTCTTCTAGAATATCAGCTTGCCAGCATTTTCTGATGTCATTCCACAATTTCTCTTCTACTCTGATTTAGGTTATATCAGAGAAGTCTACAGTTTGATAGCTATTATTTTAGCTGCTTAGCTGATAACTCCTCCCCATCATCTCCAACAAACCTGATCCCCTCCCACTGGTCCACAACAAGAAAATAGAAAAATGTGCAACACTATGTGGGAACAATATGTGACTACCAAGACACCTTCATATTAGACAAATACCTATACATATATACATTAAGAAAGACATACTGAGTGCCAAATAACCATATCTGCTTAAATTCTCTCCCCCCCCTCCCTTACCCCCCCCCTTCACCTCTAAGGTAATCCCATAAATAATAATATCCTCGTCAGACTTCCAGTAAAAGCAAATGTCTTCAAACACAACAGTACCTCCACTTAAATTTTAATATTTAATACCAGCAAAGGTAGAAATTAAAAAATAATGTACCCCCTCCTATTTACATAATTTGCAGTTTCTCTAAAATCTTTATAATACTTGTATTAAAGTATTTAAATACTGACATTATCCCAATGTTAAATAATTGTAAAATCTATGTAAACTCCTGCCATTGGAATGATTTATAGTAAGTTGGTCCCATACCAGAATCTTGTATATAGTACAGTTGTCCCAAGCCACTGTAGCTATGGGTGACGCTGCGTATGTTTGTGAAGTACATTTCCTGAAACCTGCCTGAGCTTCATATGAAATGTTCGCAATTATTCGACGGTGGCAAGGCTATCCAATGCCATGTTCCCAGCAACATAAATACTTCTTGGTTATTAAGATCTTAACTGTTCCAATTACATTTTTTGTTGAAAATTTTCTATAATTGTTAAAATAATAAAAAAAAAAAGGATAGCCTTGAGTTAAGTAAACTATGCTAAAATATTAAATATCAATTACTGAAGGGTTAAAATTTGAAAAAAAAACGAGGTATTCTAAATTGTGAAATTGTAGGGAGAAAAATGGCGACCTTGAACATAAATACTAAAATTAGAAGAAATTAAAAATATATAGTTTTTGTGCTGTTGCACGGCAGAAAGTGCAGTTAGGCTGAAATAAGTGGTGCTCCAAGCACACAGGACCAGACCAACGACTTCTTGACAAGTGGTAAGGTAAAGTTATATGCTTGACGAATCAGTAGCGTCCATCCAGATGTCTTCCATATTCATGCCCAAGTGTGGACAAATGCATGATGTCCACATGGACAATTTCATTTGGCCTCATAATGAAGCAGGAAGGTTTTGGCAGTGTGCTGTCCAGATTCTTTAGCCTTTGAAGAAAAGTCACAATCCAGTTAATGTTCTGGGGTTATTTTTGTGCTTCCTGTTAGCATTTCTAAAGTGGAAAGCCAACCGCAACAATTTGTCTCTGGAGTCGGTGAGTGTCTTCATTACCCACCGGAGTTCAAGGACGATCACTAGTTTCATCTGCAGTCCTTCATGTTCACAAGTCACCATCTACCGGTGGTAGGCATAGTCTGTAAATCCTTGAAAAGAAAGACCAAATTGCACAAAGGTGAAATTTCTCAGATGCCATTGTAGCTTATACAGATAGGTAATTAAGACAAGCTCAGCTGTTAAAAGATCACTACTGTGTGCATGATATTTGTTCATGGTGACTACACATCGCAACAAAGTCCACCAACTTTTCACAGAGTAACAAGAAGGGGAGTTCCTACAGTGAAAAGAGGAGTCCTACGATGTGTATCTTCCAAAATGTACTGTTTTGGGGTCTGTATTCTTAGATAGCTGATATGTATGTTGGTTTTGGATATGGTTAATGTAACTTCTAGAACATGTTAACAGCTAACTAATAAGGTAGAATCAAAATAGCGACAGAGATTATTTTCTATTTGACCACTAGATATACACTGAACAGAATTATAAACGCAACACTTTTGTTTTTGCCCCCATTTTTCATGAGCTGAACTCAAAGATCTAAGACTTTTTCTATGTACACAAAAGGTCTATTTCTCTCAAATCTGTGTTAGTGAGCACTTCTCCTTTGTCGAGATAATCCATCCACCTCACAGGTGTGGCATATCAAGATGCATGATTATTGCACAGGTGTGCCTTAGGCTGGACACAATAAAAGGCCACTCTAAAATAGGCAGTTTTACTGTATTAGATCTTTGCATTCAGCTCTTGAAAAATGGGGGCAAAAACAAAAGTGTCGCGTTTATAATTTTGTTCAGTGTAGAAATTTACATGAGGGAAAAAGTGAGTGATGGAAGCTTGGCAAGGAAGGGAGAAGACCCAATGTCTAGTCAAAAAAATACATTAGTCAAAGGAATACTCCAAGCACCATGACCACTTCAGAGATTTGAAGTAGTCATCGTGCTTGGAATCAGTAAGTGTAGCGTTTCGCTATGAAACGCACATATGGAGTGTAATTCCTCCTCCGGCAGCATCATTGAGGTGTAATCAGCCAGAGTTCTGGCTGGCTAATGTTAATTATTTCCAACAAAAGTTGCACACAATTGCATTCATTGGCTGAGGGCAGTCATCTGATGCTCTCCTCCAATGAATGGCCACGGACTCGGCTTCCAGTGTCTGCGGCTCTGCAGAACCAGGAAGCAACGCAGATAATACTTTCCCTAGTACGAGGGAACCAGACTAATCCTGGCACCATAATCACTGCACAATGTCATCCAACCTCAGTGTCTCACTTACCGTGGTGCCGTCTGTGGCATTTGATCCATTACTTTTAAGTTTTTTGCAGATATTTCCACGCGGGGACCCTAAGAAGGAGAGAGAAATAAATATATCAGGGCGAATGTTCTAATAAAATACAAAAAATATTTTAATACTGAGTGATCTATAATAACAGCACATTTTAATATCAATTCAAACACTCAAAAGGCAGAGAATACTTTCTGGAAAGTAGGTTTATTGCTGAAATTGTAATGTTTTGTAAGGTATAATCTTTATTTGTGTTATTTCCATCGGAAAACATTGGGAGTTTTTCGGACCCTGTTGTAACAGCAGGGCTAAGAAATATGCTACGATAAATATGCTAGTTGGGGCATGGACTTCGTAAAGATCATTAACAGCCACTAACACAGCAACATGGAAGCACAAAAGAAATGCTAACTTTCTGTGCTTGTTAAACAGACTTTAACAAATATTTAAACATTTGGTTCATGAGTCTCCAATTGACTTTCACTCCTCAATCGTCCAGTTTTCATGTACTTTGGCCCATAAGCACCATAGCGTATTGGAATTGTTTTGGTGCAAGGAGTTTTTTGGGTGGTGCTTACCTATTTTTTCCTAAACCATTGAGCAGTTTGAGAAAGACCTTGGCCTCCAAAGCCCGACCGACCCCCTCTGCTGCCCCTGAGATGATAAAATCCAATCAGCCTTGGAGGCAATGGGATAAGCTTCCCCCAGGATTTACACCCTATTATTACAGTCCAAGTAAAGATACCATCGGATTTAAGGCCGAGGGGACAGCTTTTGGGTCTCGTGAGGTCCAGGGCTTAAAAAAAAAAAAAGGAGTGGGTGGCTGTAGAAGTTACGCTCCTTGGAATGTCCCTTTAAGAATGGCTCGTGGCAGCGCCCTGTAGTGGTTATGGTGCTCAGAATGTCCAAATAAATCTGAAGGATCTTTACACTCACCTGTTTTCTCATTATGTCTGTTGCTTGCATTATACACTTTGGGAGCAGCCCATGGCTCCGCGCAAGTATAGCCGCCTGCTCCAGGGAAACACTCAATGTACTCCTGCGCAATAAATGTAATGCAGAGAAATGTTAATGTAGAAATTGGGACAAGCAATGCTTTCTTCTGCCTTTCAGCTATATCATGAATCATAGTGGGAATCGTGTGTAAAAGTAATTGTGGGGGAACGTTCTAACAGTGGAGTCATCAACAGCCACATTCCGTTGGTTTCCATGGCAACTGCTTCCCCTTTTTAGAACGTTGCCCCAGAATTACGCTTTATATCAAACAAGTCCCCAGTGTGTTAGGGCGTAACAAAGAAAGTTCAAAATACACTTCCAGGCAATTCACACTTCGTGAATAATCTCATCTGTTTAACGGGTAACTTGCTGTGTAAGAATTTACACGAAGAGTTTAGTATGTGCCCCTATTTCTTGCACACAGTCCCAGTATTGGACTTCTCCCCTGTGATTTGTACTTTGCTGTACAACCCGCCCCCCCCCTCCCCCTTTCCCCTGTTCCCACTCCACCTCCCTCCAAGAATACTTTTCAATGTCGACAAACATGCCTTTACCAGGCAGTTAAGGTTTTAAGGACAGATTTAACTTGGGGCTCACCTTTGCATTCCTGTCCCACACATTACGATCTGGCAGGCCCCGAGCCGATAACAAAGCTCAGAGGAAGTGGATAAAAGTCCGGCTCCGTATATATTGCTGTTAGCATATCCTGACTGGGGAAGTTTTGTACTAATGTACGATTTCATGAGTCTGCACAGCTCATCCAGTGCATTCATAGGACGAATCAGCTGATAAAATAAACAGAAGGAACAATGGAATATGAGTGGCTATTTGAGACAAAATCATACCTCCCAAATGTCCCTGTTTAGGAGGGACAGTCTCTATTTTGGACCCATATCTCTCTTCCTCTTTTTTTTTCCTCTTGCCCCTCTTTTCTAGGAGCTCCATATTGTTGGTGTGTCTGAGTGTATAACAGAGCTCCACAGCAATAACACTCCCAGTAATGTGTCTGAGTGTATAACAGAGCCCCACAGCTATAATACTGCCAGTAATGTGCCTGAGTGTATAACAGAGCCCCACAGCTATAATACTCCCAGTAATGTGTCTGAGTGTATAACAGAGCTCCACAGCAATAATACTCCCAGTAATGTGTCTGAGTGTATAACAGAGCTCCACAGCAATAATACCCCAGTAATGTGTCTGAGTGTATAACAGAGCTCCACAGCAATAATACTCCCAGTAATGTGTCTGAGTGTATAACAGAGCTCCACAGCAATAATACTCCCAGTAATGTGTCTGAGTGTATACAAGAGCTCCACAGCAATAATACTCCCAGTAATGTGTCTGAGTGTATAACAGAGCTCCACAGCAATAATACTCCCAGTAATGTGTCTGAGTATGTAACAGAGCTCCACCGCAATAATACTCCCAGTAATGTGCCTGAGTGTATAACAGAGCTTCACAGCAATAATACTCCCAGTAATGTGTCTGAGTGTATAGCACAGCTCCACAGCAATAATACTCCCAGTAATGTGTCTGAGTGTATGCTTGGGCTCAGAGGGAAGGGAAGAAATAATGGACTTATAGAGGCAAAGGCAATTAATAAAAAACAATAACTAAATAGCAATAAATACCACCACCAGCCAGCGTCAATAACTGTAACCTACTTGCACACATGGCACCCTAATGTTTCATTTTAACAAATAATGCAGGTTCTTTACATCTATGCCTTTAATAAACGTTTGTCGTCTTATAAAAACAGACTCTGTGTTACTCTGCTGAGCTGTGAGATTAGCAGCAATCTACCAGGAAGCCTTTGGAACATTTTAGGCTCAAAATTTTCCAGTCAGGTAGATTTCCAGCCTTCCTATTTTGGGGTAGGTTTCCAGCCTTCCTATTTTGGGTTAGGTTTCCAGCCTTTCTATTTTGGGGTTGGTTTCCAGTCTTCCTATTTTGGGGTAGGTTTCAAGTCTACCTATTTTGGGGTTGGTTTCCAGTCTTCCTATTTTGGGGAAGCTATTTTGGAGTAGGTTTCCAGCCTTCCTATTTTGAGGTAGGTTTCCAGCCTTCCTATTTTGGGGTACGTCTCCAGCCTTCCTATTTTGGTGTTGGTTTCCAGCCTTCCTATTTTGGTGTTGGTTTCCAGCCTTCCTATTTTGGGGTAGGTTTCCAGCCTTCCTATTTTGGGGTTGGTTTCCAGCCTTCCTATTTTGGGGTAGGTTTCCAGCCTTTCTATTTTAGGGTAGGTTTCCAGCCTTCCTATTTTGGGGTAGGTTTCAAGTCTTCCTATTTTGGGGTTGGTTTCCAGCCTTCCTATTTTGGGATACGTCTCCAGCCTTCCTATTTTGGGGTTGGTTTCCAGCCTTCCTATTTTGGGGTAGGTTTCCAGCCTTCCTATTTTGGGGTAGGTTTCCAGCCTTCCTATTTTGAGGTAGGTTTCCAGCCTTCCTATTTTGGGGTTGGTTTCCAGCCTTCCTCTTTTGGGGTACGTCTCCAGCCTTTCTATTTTGGGTTCAGGTTTCCACCCTTCCTATTTTGGGGTTGGTTTCCAGCCTTCCTATTTTGGGGAAGCTATTTTGGGGTAGGTTTCCAGCCTTCCTATTTTGAGGTAGGTTTCCAGCCTTCCTATTTTGGGGTACGTCTCCAGCCTTCCTATTTTGGGGTTGGTTTCCAGCCTTCCTATTTTGGGGTAGGTTTCCAGCCTTCCTATTTTGGGTTAGGTTTCCAGCCTTTCTATTTTGGGGTTGGTTTCCAGTCTTCCTATTTTGGGGTAGGTTTCAAGTCTACCTATTTTGGGGTTGGTTTCCAGTCTTCCTATTTTGGGGAAGCTATTTTGGAGTAGGTTTCCAGCCTTCCTATTTTGAGGTAGGTTTCCAGCCTTCCTATTTTGGGGTACGTCTCCAGCCTTCCTATTTTGGTGTTGGTTTCCAGCCTTCCTATTTTGGTGTTGGTTTCCAGCCTTCCTATTTTGGGGTAGGTTTCCAGCCTTCCTATTTTGGGGTTGGTTTCCAGCCTTCCTATTTTGGGGTAGGTTTCCAGCCTTTCTATTTTAGGGTAGGTTTCCAGCCTTCCTATTTTGGGGTAGGTTTCAAGTCTTCCTATTTTGGGGTTGGTTTCCAGTCTTCCTATTTTGGGGTAGGTTTCAAGTCTTCCTATTTTGGGGTAGATTTCCAGCCTTCCTATTTTGGGGTAGATTTCCAGCCTTCCTATTTTGGTGTTGGTTTCCAGCCTTCCTATTTTGGGGTAGGTTTCCAGCCTTCCTATTTTGGGATACGTCTCCAGCCTTCCTATTTTGGGGTTGGTTTCCAGTCTTCTTATTTTGGGGTAGGTTTCAAGTCTTCCTATTTTGGGGTAGGTTTCCAGCCTTTCTATTTTGGGGTTGGTTTCCAGTCTTCTTATTTTGGGGTTGGTTTCCAGCCTTCCTATTTTGGGGTAGGTTTCCAGCCTTCCTATTTTGGGGTTGGTTTCCAGCCTTCCTATTTTGGGGTTGGTTTCCAGCCTTCCTATTTTGGGGTTGGTTTCCAGCCTTCCTATTTTGGGGTTGGTTTCCAGCCTTCCTATTTTGGGGTTGGTTTCCAGCCTTCCTATTTTGGGGTTGGTTTCCAGCCTTCCTATTTTGGGGTTGGTTTCCAGCCTTCCTATTTTGGGGTAGGTTTCCAGCCTTCCTATTTTGGGGTAGGTTTCCAGCCTTCCTATTTTGGGGTAGGTTTCAAGTCTTCCTATTTTGGGGTTGGTTTCCAGCCTTCCTATTTTGGGGTAGGTTTCAAGTCTTCCTATTTTGGGGTTGGTTTCCAGTCTTCCTATTTTGGGGTTGGTTTCCAGCCTTTCGATTTTGGGGTTGGTTTCCAGCCTTCATATTTTGGGGTTGGTTTCCAGCCTTCCTATTTTGGGGTTGGTTTCCAGCCTTCCTATTTTGGGGTAGGTTTCCAGCCTTTCTATTTTGGGGTTGGTTTCCAGTGTTCCTATTTTGGGGTACGTCTCCAGCCTTTCTATTTTGGGTTCAGGTTTCCACCCTTCCTATTTTGGGGTTTGTTTCCAGCCTTCCTATTTTGGGGAAGCTATTTTGGGGTAGGTTTCCAGCCTTCCTATTTTGGGGTACGTTTCCAGCCTTCCTATTTTGGTGTTGGTTTCCAGCCTTCCTATTTTGGGGTAGGTTTCAAGTCTTCCTATTTTGGGGTTGGTTTCCAGTCTTCCTATTTTGGGGTAGGTTTCAAGTCTTCCTATTTTGGGGTAGATTTCCAGCCTTCCTATTTTGGGGTAGATTTCCAGCCTTCCTATTTTGGTGTTGGTTTCCAGCCTTCCTATTTTGGGGTAGGTTTCAAGTCTTCCTATTTTGGGGTTGGTTTCCAGCCTTCCTATTTTGGGGTAGGTTTCCAGCCTTCCTATTTTGGGGTAGGTTTCCAGCCTTCCTATTTTGGGGTAGATTTCCAGCCTTCCTATTTTGGTGTTGGTTTCCAGCCTTCCTATTTTGGGGTAGGTTTCAAGTCTTCCTATTTTGGGGTTGGTTTCCAGTCTTCCTATTTTGGGGTAGGTTTCAAGTCTTCCTATTTTGGGGTTGGTTTCCAGCCTTCCTATTTTGGGGTTGGTTTCCAGTCTTCCTATTTTGGGATACGTCTCCAGCCTTCCTATTTTGGGGTTGGTTTCCAGCCTTCCTATTTTGGGGAAGCTATTTTGGGGTAGGTTTCCAGCCTTCCTATTTTGAGGTAGGTTTCCAGCCTTCCTATTTTGGGGTACGTCTCCAGCCTTCCTATTTTGGTGTTGGTTTCCAGCCTTCCTATTTTGGGGTAGGTTTCCAGCCTTCCTATTTTGGGATACGTCTCCAGCCTTCCTATTTTGGGGTTGGTTTCCAGCCTTCCTATTTTGGGGTATGTCTCCAGCCTTCCTATTTTGGGGTTGGTTTCCAGCCTTCCTATTTTGGGGTAGGTTTCCAGCCTTCCTATTTTGGGGTAGGTTTCCAGCCTTCCTATTTTGAGGTAGGTTTCCAGCCTTCCTATTTTGGGGTTGGTTTCCAGCCTTCCTCTTTTGGGGTACGTCTCCAGCCTTTCTATTTTGGGTTCAGGTTTCCACCCTTCCTATTTTGGGGTAGGTTTCCAGCCTTCCTATTTTGGGGTTGGTTTCCAGCCTTCCTATTTTGGGGTTGGTTTCCAGCCTTCCTATTTTGGGGTAGGTTTCCAGCCTTCCTATTTTGGGGTTGGTTTCCAGCCTTCCTCTTTTGGGGTGCGTCTCCAGCCTTTCTATTTTGGGTTCAGGTTTCCACCCTTCCTATTTTGGGGTAGGTTTCCAG